ATCTCCTGTTTAAGCACAGAACATGTACGGAGCAAAAGGACTACGTTGTCTTAACTAATAACTTTGCTTTTTATTAGCTTTTAAAATGGTAAATTTTGAACTAGTGTCCTTGTAATTGATATCCATCATCTACTACCTGGATATGATGGCTATACCAGAGGCCCTGAAAAACGGGCTGTGTTCCCCTGTGGGGAGTTAACATATTCCCAGAGTAGTCACCTCCGTTTCTTCATATAGAGTCAAATCCACCAGAGAGAGGGAATAAACCCTTTTGTCAAAAAGCAATTTATGAGGGATATGAAAATTGTCCTAATATGAATGTCCCATGAATAATTGATCATCATGATGATCATAATAACAATAAAAATAATAATTATTAACAACAACATGGCCCTGCGACAAATTGGCGACCTGACCCGGGTGTACCCGCCCTTCTCCCTACAGTAGCTCCAAAGCAGCACAACCCTGAGCTGGAAGAGCATAAGAGAATGGATCAGTGCCTTTGGTTTTAATTATTCAGTTATACGCCGAATACTTAAGGTATGTAAAGTGCAATCCACAGCCCTCCTTAAAGCAGTAAACGTGGGCCAGTGCTGACCAATGAGAAACATAGACTATATATATTGCCCCCTGTGATGGCTGAGAAAGACTGAGGTAAGATCCTGTTTGATGTCCAGATGCAGATGGATGCAGGAAGATGACCAAACACTTTCCAAAAACTTTGAACACTTTACTTTCACTTTGTAAACTGTATTGAGCGCTTTCTTTGACAAGGAAGCTAATTAAACAGAATTACAAAATAAGGATAAGTAAAAGTTAAGTGCAAAGTTTCTCACAAGACAGGAAAGCCATCAAGTAACTGATCAAAGCACATGCAAGGAGAACATGCTGGAGATTAACTCGACAAAACTGCAGCGTCTTACACCATCCATTCGCAGACGGGGGCCAAGATGGAGCTGAAGGAAGGAAGGAAGCAGTTTTAATGTAACACTATGGTAACTAAAGGATCTCACTGCGCACGTATTTCGAACATTTCACATTCATGATGGTCTGCTGGTTTGTTTAGCGCTAGTAGGGATAGATTGCTATCCCATCAATGACATTGGTGCTTAAATTAAATCAACCTGATGAACATGAACACCATTGGATACAGCCGAATCCTCAAACTTAAATTCTACTTCTTTTCTTAAAAAACAAAAAAGTCATGATGTCAAAGAAAGAAGAAAAACTTAAGGATATAAGTGTTTCATAGGCCGACGCCAATGAGCAAAACCGAGGCATAAGATGGAAAATGCAACGGTATTTTCATAATGAACTGCATCTCTGATGGTGGATGCACCTCGTTAAATTGAGCATCATTTGCTTTTATTTCATAAAGGACATTTCACTATATCTTGTACTAAAACCGGAAATTAGAGCATATTTCATAGCTTAAGTTAAAAAAAAGACTTCAAAGAAGCACCGTTGATATTCACAGTACTACCTCCAGTGATTGTAATCACCTGTCACCCATTTATGTGTGCAGAGATTTTTAAGTAGACCACACACATTGACAAATATACACAGAAGCTTGACATCCTGCATCACGCACAGTCTTCAGTGAAAGGCCTTTCCCGACTTGACGTCTCGACACATCCACTTGCAGTGGGTCCCGCTCCTTTGGGAAAACGTGCCCGGGGATGTTTTGCTCTACACGTGACCACCCACTACATTCTTTCGCATTTCTAGCTCTGTGCTTTTTATTTTAGCCTGCATTCACTCAAGTTGATACATGAGTATACAAGAGTCTCTAAAGTGAAGGAACCATCGCTCTTGTGACGACAAATGCTAAATATCTGACCTGACAGCAGGTCAGCTGAAGCTCAGACTGAAAAGAAATCGTTTACTGTGCCATTTTAAATCGACATAATTGGCAATTTAAAACAGACACTATTGATCGTGCCTAAATTAGCGATTAAGAAAAATGCATGGATATGCACAGGATAGTAAGTATTGAGACTCTCTGAATCATGTTGTAGATATGATTTTAAATGGATACCGTCAGTTTTCAAAAAGGGTAACAAAAGTAGCAAAAGTAGTGGCTCATCAGCAACTGCTTACACTTTTCAGCTAATTGAAAATCTTATTGTGTTGCTTTACTGGCAATACAATAAAAAAATACTGAAATGGGATGGCAGCGTGTATTTCTATTCTAAATAATAAGCAACAGGATATTATTCAGACTAAATCTGAAGAGTTTAGTGTCTGTTATATTCATAAATACAGTAAATCATGAAACCACAGACTGAAGACATGATGTACTCGTACATGTGCACTTACCCTTGACACAACGAAGTCTGTGGAAAAGAAACAAGGACAAAGGTCACTGAATGAAAACATGCCTGGTACTGGCTGTGACCTGACAGCTTTTAACAGTATTCTAACTTTATTTAGTATTAAATAATTATGTTATGAGATATCCAAATGTGACGTAATGTTTCAGTTTGTGCACTGATTGATTTTTAAAGCTCCCTGCATGCCAGAGCTTATACAGAATAACCATGTTTCACTTTTCAAATAATACTCGACTGTTTGCGGTTCATAAAAAGGGATCAGTTACTATGTTTTTAAAAATCTTGCAACAGCCAAATACTTCATACATACTTAAAGGGAGTTCTGGTCACATAGTTAAGTCACTATATCAGAAGTGCCATCACTGTCTGTGAGTGCCAGTTAATGTACTCCAGTTTGATAAGCTGTTTGCTGAAGCACTTGTCAACACTCCTACTGTAATAGTCAATTCAGTTCAACTCAAAATGTATTTGCACACATTGATTTAGCACCAAAACACAATGGAAGTTACCACAAGGTGCTTTATATTGAGGTTAGGTACGTTCTCCTTGTGCCTATATGGTTTCTACCATGAAGGCCTCCAAAGAGATGCAAGTTAGGTTCAGTGGAGACTAACTTTCCACAGGTGTGGGTCAGTGTAAGTGGTTGTCTGAATGTCCTCTGCTGATGAAAAGCAAAAGCAGAACCAACTTTCAGACAGAAGCTTATCCCAGTTCTTGTGCACAGTTTATTTTCAAGGCTTAAATGAGAAGCCTCTAATGCATTTACTGCCTCTAATGTACACTATATTTCCAAAAGAATTGGCGTGCTTGCCTTCACATGCATATGAACTTGAGTGACATCCCATTCCTTGGCCCAGATATAACATCTTCAGCTCTTCTGGGGTGGCCTCTCCCTTAGAGATCGGGTGAGAGGTTTAGCCATCCAGGAGGGGCTCAGAGTAGAGCCGCTGCTGCTCCACATCGAAAGGAGCCAGCTGAGGTGGTTCGGGCATCTGACAAGGATGCCTCCTGGTTGCTCCTGGGTGAGGTGTTCCGGGCATGTCCCACCGGGAGGAGGCCCCGGGGCAGACCCAGGACTTGCTGGAAAGATTATATCTCTCAGCTGGCCTGAAAACGCCTTGGTGTTCCCCCAGACAAGCTGGAGGAGGTGGCTGGGGAGAGGGAGGTCTGGGCTTTTCTGCTTGGGCTGCTGCCTCCGTGACCTGGCCCCGGATAAGCGGAAGAAGATGGTTGATGGATGGAAGTCTTCTGGGAAAGCTTTCCAAAAGGTTTCTAGAGTGTTTATGGGATTTTTTTTTACTGTTCTTCCAAAAGCACATTTGGGAGATCAGAGGCTGATGTTTTACAAGAAGGCCTGGCTCACAGGTCTCTGCTCTAATTAATCCCATTAGGTGGAGGTCAGTACTCAGGCTAGTCAAATTCCTCGACACCAAGCTCATTCATCCATGTCTTTATGGACATTGCTCTGTGCACTGGTGTGTAGTCATGTTGTCAATCCTGGAAATGTTCCCAAAGTTGGAAGTGATTATTTGGAGCATGAAATTGTCCAAAATGTCTCGGTATGCTGAGGCATTAAGAGTTCCTTTGACTGAAACTAAGGGCCAACTCCTGAAAAACAACCCCACAACATAATCTCCAAATTTCACCAAACTTCACACTTGGCACAGTGCAGTCAGACTCTTCTCCTGGCTACCACCAAATCCAGATTTTATTTGGATTGCCAGACACGGTGTGATTCATCACTTCAGAGGGCACAACTCCACTGCTCTAGAGTCGAGTGGCGGCGTGCTTTACACCACAGCATCTGACACTTTGCATCGTGCTTGGTAATGTAAAGCTTGGATGCAGCTGCTCAGCCATGGAAAGTTATTCCATGAAGCTCTCTAAGCGCTGCTCACTAATCTGAAGGGCACATGACGTTTGGAGATGTGTCGCTATGGACTCTGCAAAAAGTTGGTGACCTCTGCGCACTGAGCTCCTGAGAATGACCCATTCTTCATTTGGATTGGTAAGTGAAAACTTTTGGCAATAAGGTTTTCTCCAGAAAATCTTATCTTTAACCTGAAAAACAACTCTAATAGCCCCAGTGCAGTTTGTCACAGCCAATCTCTGGATTATGGTTGGTTTTTAAATAAATGATGATAATATGCCATCTGTTATTGTTCATATGAGGCTGCTTTTACCTGCTATTGTTGTGATATGGTGCTAAATATACATCAACAAATATAAATAAAATGGAATTGAATGGAACTGAATGAGTTTTTATTATGTCTTGATATGTGAAACATGGTGTACTAACCCTTTTGTCATGAATTTTCTACATAACATAATGATGCTCTTTATTTCCAATGAATGTTTCTGCCTTGGTTTGTTTTCTCCGATCCTCACCTTTGTTTTCAGCCTTCAGCTCCTCCTGCAGGAAGTCCCTCTGCCGATTGCCCAGCACGAAGGCCAGAAAGGAGAGGATGAGGGCATCCAGCACGCCGATGATAGCCAGAATGTAGGCCCAACGAACAGAGCAGTTGCCCAAGGTATACTTTCCAGTGTCCTCACCACACATGTCCTGGATCACCTCTGCGTCCCAGCCATCCGGGAAGATCATACAGCCAAGCACGAGACAGATGGCTAAGAAAAAAAGAAAAAAAACAGGGAATGTAGGCCAGCAGTGAGCAAAGGGATTACTCAATTAATAATTAGTACAAAGATGTGATAGATAAACAGTAGTCACAACAGCCTGAGTGGAACTGTATTTGTCTTGTGTGATACGGGATTTTGTTAGGGACCACGTATGATATCATGCAGAGTGATGGGTCAACGTAACAGATGTGTTACATTTAAAAACAGCTCATGACAGAAAATGTCAAGGCTGGCTACGTTGCTGTAGGACCCAAACGCACGATTCATAACATGAAGGAATAACAAAAAGCCTTTCTTTGCTGTAAGACCCAAACACAAGGAAACCTAACCTAGAACTGGAAACTAGGAACTGGGACTGGGACTGGGACAGAGAACTAAGAAACCGCAGAGCACAGAC